TGACGTCACAAACGACCTTGTAACCAATCAGATCAACGTGTGATCGTCAACCAGTGGATCTCTGAGCTGGTGTGAGTGAGTGGAGGCGGGGCTCATTTGCATATTCATAGAACCACGTATACTAAATGAGGCAAGGGTGTCGAGTTACATTCAAGCCATTTTAAGGCACGAAGGAATCTTTTTTCAAGGAAAAAACGTTTAAATATGTCATTTTGGTGATCAAAGATGAGTTTTGAGGGATACAATTATTGGGGGACTTTAAAACATGATTTAAAATGTACTTTAAAGCAAAACTTTTAAATTGACATCACAAAGTGCACTGAAGTGTGTTAAAAAACAGTAATGTTAGTATTCTCTCTTTTTATTTCATTATATTATCTGCAAGTATAGTTATTTTTTTAAATGTGCTTTTCTGGTTTGAGGTTCTGCAAGCACACATTCAGCACAACCAGACACACTGGTCTTTTTCACTAGGGTTTCCCATGCAGTAAGTAACACACACTTACTGCAACATGACAGACTTTAACACAAAGTTTAGTGTCTCATGTGACTGGAACACCAACATTATTGGTATTGAAGTAATTTAAAACAACAAAAAAAGCTTAATTTTTTTATCCCCCTGATATGGACAGCTCACTCGTATCTCCAAGCCGTGTTGCATGAATATTCTTGACATTCAAGTATTGAATATTCTTAACATTAAAATACAGGTTTAAATTAACAATTGATTTAACATTAAAATCTTGTTGGTTCAACAGTGGGTGATTTTGGAAGAAGTTGATGTTTTGAGTTTTTAGGCCAAATAAAACTGAGGAATTGTACTACCTCTTTGGATCAAGTGCTCTATGAAGTCTTTCTTTTACATTTTTAGTCAAGTAGATGTACTGTAAACTGTCTGTAAACATCACACTCCATATTAACATTGTCATTGTTGCAGAATCTATTGTTTCATAATTATTCAAGCCAGTGTTTTATCCAACATCTGTGGTTATTTTCACATAGACACATGGTGAGCGTCACCCAGCGTCCAGCCTCGGCCGGTTCATCCGAGGACATGGGTTTGTTTGCTTTAGAGCCGGTCATGTTTTGATTGAGCTGGAGTCCAGAGGAACAGCAGAGTCCTAGCAGACAGGTCATCAAGGTAGACGAGGGTTGTTAAGTTAAATTCCTGGGCTCCTCCGACAACAGGAGCGTTTCACCATATGTTTGAGCTTAAGTTCTGGCGGGGGTCTGGTACCTTATCTGGTCCATGCTGTGTGAGGCAGGGGATCTGAAGACACCCCTTCCCCCTTCCCGTGAGTCCCGCTCGCCCAACAGCAGAAGCCTTCACACCTCCATTTAACCAGAACGGCCCCTTCAAAGGGATGTAAAACAGATAAACTCAGAGTGAAACACTGTACATTTAAAAAGTCTTACTATAATATTGTATTTTATTAATTCAATTGTGATTTGAAAAGAAAAATCTATAGTAAAAATACAGGTTTAAATTAACAATTGATTTAACATTAAATTTTTTATTGTAAAATACGGTAAACATGCTTTTTGGATTTTGCCGTAGCAGTTACCGTATAATTTATATACACTACCGTTCAAAATTGACCGTTTAATAAGCGCATTAAACTGATAAAAATTGACAGTAATGGCATTTATAATGTTACAAAATATATATTTTTGAAAAATGCTGTTCTTTTGAACTTTCTATTCATTTCACAGTTTCCACACAAAATATGAACTGTTTTCAACATTGATAATAATCGGAAATGTTTATTAAGCTGCAAATCAGCATTATATAATGATTTCTGAAGGATCATGTGACACTGAAGACTGATGCTGGAAATTATGCTTTACAGTATATTACAATAGAAAACTGTTATTCTAAATTGTAATAATATTTCACAATATTAGTGTATTTTTGATCAAATAAATGCAGCCTCTAAGAGTAAATATTTATATTTATAAAATATTTTTAACAGTAAAATATTATAAACATTATAGTAAAATGTTCAAATATTATAAATGTGCATATTTATAATTTTGTATATGTGTGTTTGTGTTGGTGTTTTGTGTAATGGATGGGTAAAAGAAGATAAAAATGTTTTCACCAAACACAATTTTATTTTATAAATTAATTTTACTGCTTCCACATTTGTCTTTTATCTATAAAATCATTTATATATTTCAATTCAGTATTTATCTTGTTTATTTTGTGTGAATCAAAGCTTTTCAAGACATATTTTGATCATTCATGTTTTAAAACACACACACACACACACACGCACGCACGCACGCACGCACGCACGCACGCACGCACGCACGCACGCACACACACACACACACACACACACACACACACACACACACACACACACACACACACACACACACACACACACACACACACACACTCTCATGTTGTAAGTGAAGTCTGATCACATGTCTGGTCTTGATGAAGTCATAAGACTCAGTGTTGAATGAGTGAGTGTGTGTGTGTGTGTGTGTGTGTGTGTGTGTGTGTGTGTGTGTGTGTGTGTGTGTGTGTGTGTGTGTGTGTGTGTGTGTGTGTGTGTGTGTGTGTGTGTGCGTGTGTGTGCGCGTGTGTGTGTGTGTGTGTGTGTGCATGAGTGAGTGAGTGAGTGTGTGAGTGAGTGTCTGTCTCCCCCTGAGAAACACAAGGAAAACATCTGTTCTCAACAGAGGACATTTCTGTGCTTTATACGCTCGCTGTGTCCAGGTCAAGAGATCACGACACCCGGTCACTAAACACAACCTGTGGCTGTTTTATAATGTGTACTGACAAGCATAAAATGCAGCAAATTATGTGAACGCCAATTCAACACTAAAATCTTTTGTATGTGTGAGATGTTTTGAACTTTTGAGATGTTTTGAGTTAGTCAGAAAACAGTCAATAGGTGTGTCCCAAATGATGCACTGTCGAGTGCATGAAGTGCCAGCATTGTTAGCATTGCACACTTCTGCTGAATTCAGAACTGCACACTAGTATAGGCTACTACTCTTACTTTACCCACTGTCTATGGCAGAATTAGTACGAGTATCTGTATGCGGTTCTGTATGCGGTTCTGAATTAAGTATCTATCTATCTATCTATCTATCTATCTATCTATCTATCTATCTATCTATCTATCTATCTATCTATCTATCTATCTATCTGTCTATCTGTCTGTCTGTCTGTCTGTCTGTCTGTCTGTCTGTCTGTCTGTCTGTCTGTCTGTCTGTCTGTCTATCTATCTATCTATCTATCTATCTATCTATCTATCTATCTATCTATCTATCTATCTATCTATCTAATAAAATGTAATATCAATTATATATAATATAAATGGCTTAAAATGTAATATCAATTATATTTTAACAAGACAATAGGCCTATAGGCGACATGTATGCAAGAGTTAAATTGTCAATAACTTTTCAAAGTGTTGTGTATTTGTACTGTAGTAGGCTACCTAGGCCTATTTGTGTATATGAATAGAGAGACAAAGCTATTTTTTGTCATGTGTGTGAGTGTCTGGAATGTGTCTGACGGGTGTGTGTGAGCAGCCCGATCTCATGAAAGTGCGTATCTATACCACGAATTAAATTTTTTCGTGTCATTTATACGCCAAAAGTAGTTTTTGCGTGTTTATGATACGCAGTTTTTCGCGTGCATATGATACGCATTATTTAGCGTGTAATACGCACGCACTCCCCATCCCTAATCCTACCCAAGAGATTACAGTGCGTAGCATATGCACGCAAAAAACATTTTTGGCGTATAAATAGCACGATAAATTAAATTCGTGGTATAGATACGCACGTTCATGAGATCGTGTTGGTGTGAGAGGGGTTTTAGCTCGGTTGACCCGCGTCTGCACGGCGTCCTCGCGATGAACGAGGGCTAAATCACGGCACTTCACACCCTCCGTGTAATCAGATCATGGAAACATCGACTGACACAATGAAGAAATGAATGCGCAAAGTAGCCGATGGACATGTTAGCACCTCATTTCCATCAGAGCAGTAATATGTGAGCATGTGAATGTGCCCGAGGCATGAGATGGAAATAACAGAGGAGGATTCAGGACGGACACTTTTGTTCAGGACAGTCGGTTAATTTTCAGCCATGCACGCACCCGCTGAGCGTCTCTCACGCCCCGCAGAGCCCCGCGCGGGGAACCGGTCTGATGTGGTCCTCTGATCCCGCAGATGAAGGATCAATGGGACCTTGTGCTCCAAATGAGTGTTAAATGACTTGCGATTGTGCTTTGTGTCTAAACCGGTGTATTTCACCCTTTAATGGGGTGACCGGGGCTAGTTGTCACACAAATAACCATATAGCCTACGCTTTCAAAATGTTAACTAAAATGTAATAACATTTAGGCTAGCCTATGATGGATTAGGCCTATTTAATTTTTCAGAAATGACAAATCAGTGCAAGTTGTCACAAGCTCTAAAAATGCATTTTACTGTTATGATATAGGCCAACGGGATCATTACTGGTTTCCATTGTGACAACTTGCCCCTCAGTGTTTACTTCACAATATTGAATTAGGCCTATTTAATTCAGATGCGAGATGCCAACCTGATATTTTATTCACTTTAAATAGGCCTATTTGTTTCAGTTTATTTGTCTGTTTTTAAACTGAAATGTATCCACCTGCATTGACATCTCCAAAATATCCAATGTTTGAGATTAAATTAAATGTAATAGCCTAAGCATTTATATGGCACTTTACTGTGTTTGACTACTAGGCTAACTGTTCACCCAAAGTGCTTTACAGTCATATCAGGGGGTCTCACCCAATGTTTACCAACAGTTTTACAAATGTAGCCACTTTTTAATAACCCAGTTCTTCCAAGATTGGAATCTGAGCTATTGTTTAAAGTTAGAGAAACCCGCTGGCATAGTGTAGAGTTCCCGCGGGCACCTGCAGTGGAGGCTGCTCTCGGACAGGGGGCGTGGCCTGGTGGGCGTGACCTGTGCTATAGCCCCGCCCCGTTCCCCCGCAGCCTCATATGAAGAGAACCGTGTGCGCTGAATGGCAGTGGCTCATGTGCAACTTTAAGAAGCTAACGTCCTCTCCCTAGACGCAAAGATTACTGGACATCTGAAGCAGACTCTGACTCTGAAGCGCTGCAGCTTTTTCACAGAGTCAGTCCAGAGTTACTCCAAAACTTGAAGTTTGGAGAAGATCTCTACAAAATGCCTCGTTCATTTCTTGTCAAGAAGTATTTCTCCAACAAGAAGCCAAACTACAGTGAACTGGAGAGTCAAACTGGTGAGTGTGCCTTTAAAAGCTGTTTGTTTATGTGTGTTATTGTGTACAAAATCAGTGTGTGAATTGACAGAGCTTATCATTAGCCAACACTTTGTCATGACATCCTACTCTATTTATGTTCACATTACTTTTTTTGTCAACACTTTTTTAGCTATTTTCTACTATTTTCAATAGTTATGTTGTTACTTTCAGTTTGGCTATTTAGTTTTTCATTGTATTGTTTTTTTGGTTACTTTATTTTAAGGTGTCATTGTGTAATTATATTTAAGTACTGAGTAATAATAATTAACAACATGTACTCACTATAGGGTTAGGGGTATGATTAGGTTGAGGGTTAGTTGCATGAAATTATGCATAATTTACTGTTATCACTATGGTAAGTACATGTAACAAGGACCCTGTAAAATAAAGTGTTACCGTTTTTTCTCACAAACTGAAGGATGTAGTTTAACTAACTGCTAAAATGCTTCAGCTGTAGTTTTTCACAGTTTAATCCCATTAATAAATCTCAAAAAGTGAGAGCATGCTAATGCAGTAGATATTCAGATACTAACGAAAATAAAGTGTGCTTTTGATAAACTGGAGAATATAAAAAAAGCACTACCACCCCATCAAACCTAACAAACGGGACTGTTTCATGTACTCCAACAACCCCCCTGAACATGCACCTTTTCTCTTCCCCAGACCAACGCTATGCTGTCGTCCCTCTACATGACTTCCACACCATTGAAGGTGATTCTGTGGTGCCCATACTCGTGTGGGCCAGCAGTGTGTTACCCCTCGCCTTCTCCCCGGCCTCCCCCAGCCCCCCGTCTCCTCCCGGGCCTCTGGACCTGAGCTCTCCGTCCAGCAGCTCCAGCAGTGGAGAGGAGGACGACTGCCGCACCTCCGACCCACCCAGCCCGGACCCTGACTCCGACCGCTCCCAGTGCTCCCAGTGCGGGAAGCCCTGCGGCAGCGCGGCCGGCCTGTCCCGCCACCAGCTCACGCACTGCACCCCCGGCCCGCAGACCACAGGAGCCGCCAGCACCGCCACCAGAGCCGCCTTTCACTGCAAGCACTGTCCCAAAGAGTACACCAGTCTGGGTGCGCTGAAGATGCACATCCGCTCACACACACTCCCCTGTGTGTGTGGCACGTGTGGGAAGGCCTTCTCCAGACCCTGGCTGCTGCGGGGACACATTCGCACACACACCGGTGAGTTAGTTAGCCCATAAACTGAAGCTGTGAGTGGTGCAACATTTGACCAAAACCTTTAAAGTATTAAACTTGGGAACGTCCCGTTTGTGGTAATCTCCTCAACAAGCCCAAAACTGTGCAGATTGTAGGTGTGCCATAGACCTTGTTCAGGTTAGATGACATTGAATTGAACACGGATGAAAACAAGGCTGTGAGGGATATAGACGTTCGTGCACTGCTATGAAGATCCTAGATCATCTTTTGGGGGTGGTGATGGCGCAGTAGATAAGACACATGCCTTTGGTGTGAGAGACCCGGGTTCAAATCCACTGTGAGACACCAATGTGTCCCTGAGCAAGACACTTAACCCCTAGTTGCTCCAGAGGCGTGCAACCTCTGATCCCCTGTAAGTCGCTTTGGATAAAAGCGTCAACTAAATGAGTAAATGTAAATCTTTTAAAACTGATTCATGGAGTTTTTTGTCCTCTGAAAGACGTTTCATCAGCTGAAGAGTCGGTATGTTGTTCAACAACAGTACAATCCATTAAACGCACTGTATTCTGTATTCACAGAATAAAACATTTTAAAAGATAATTGAATAATCTTAAAATTCTGACTTTTTTTCTCAGAATTGTGAGATTTAAAGTCCAATTCGGACTTTATACAAAGCTGCCGTCACGGAATAAAAAAGGTAAATGAGACTTTTTATCTCACAATTCTGACTTTATATCTCGTAAGTTGGATTCTTTTCTCAGAATCGCAAGTTATAAAGTCCAATTGCGTGTGAAAAACGTCAGAATTGTGAGATAAAAGGTCTCAATTACCTTTTTTATTTTGCGTGGCGGAAACAAGCTTCCACAGTAATCTGTCCCTTACAGCCTTGTTTTCATTCCTGTCAAAAATTAAATATGCCGCTACCCTGACTAAGGTCTTTTACTTTTCTACCAAACGAATTTACGCTTTCCATCTGGCTGGCAATAAAAGTGGTGTAAAAATCCCAAACTGTCGTATCTATAGATAAGAACGTTATAGAAACTTGGGGGTTGGGCTCTTTTATCCATGACATGTGGGGGGAAAAACAATATCGGGGCCACAAATGAATAATTCCTAAATTGTTTCCTTGTTTTAGTTACATCATGGCCTCAATTAAAACAAGGGAATGAATTGGTACAACATGACCATGGTTTATTTCCAATTCGTTACTAAAACAAAGAGCATTAATTCTTAATTTGTTGCCACGATATCTATTTTTTATTCCACATGTCATGTGCAGGGCTTCTTACTTGAGTAAAAAAAATGAAAGTTTGTTATAGTCAAGCTTTCATCTTGCATCATGGTCATTTAAACTAGGTGAACTTAGTAACTTTGACGATACGTGCAAGAATAAATGAAAGGGATGTGGCGTGGTTATGGAGAAAGCCTTTGGTTAGCATTCCCATTATTGTCAATGGCAGTTTCTCGGCTGGTTCATCTAACAGCAGTGGCTAACTGCCCATGTTAACTAGTAAAACCTTGACCGTCTGCATAAAGGACCATCTATCTAGAGACAAGAATGTCAAAGAAACTTGGAGGTGGCTCTTTAGAGCAAGTATTTAGGGCACAAGTTTTGTAGGTTCACCTTGCAGAATCTAGTCTGAATTGTATTTCAAGGTTAGAGGTTAAAATGCATAAAACATCTTTAACGCAATGACATATAATGTGTGTATACTAAAAGTTCTTCATCTCTGTTTTAAGGCGAGCGCCCCTTCTCGTGCCCCCACTGTAACCGTGCGTTTGCGGACCGCTCGAACCTGCGGGCTCACCTGCAGACCCACTCCGAAGTGAAGAAGTACCAGTGTGGGACGTGCTCCCGTACCTTCAGCCGAATGTCCCTCCTGCACAAACACACTCTCTCCGGCTGCTGTCCGTCTGCCTAGAGGAGGAGTCCCATCTCTCGGCGCTGGGACAGGACGGGCTTAAGCCATAAGTCAATGTCTGGACTCATAGAGACTCGTTTTTGAAGCACACGGTGCCTTATCTTTTATTCCCCAAGCTAAAAGAAGAGATTATTTTTCTATCAGTTTTAGGGTGTTTTCACACCTGAGCGTTTGTTTCGGAACCTGGTGTGTTTTCTCCCTTGGTTCGGTTCGTTTAGGCATATGTGAACACGGCATTAATGCTCAGATCCGCACCAGAACAATTGACCTGGACCTGAACGAGGTGCAAACGGACTCTGGGATGGTTCGCTTGAGGTGTGAAAGCAATCCGACCTAACGGACCAACGAACCAAATGGTATTATAATTCATAACGGGAAATGTGCTGTATAAAAAGCAGTAGTGTCCGATTCTGTGAGTGAGCAGATTAGTTATCACAGTTGAAAACCAAAAGAGCACCTGTTCACCTTAACATGTGGTGTAATTGCGCTTCTCTGTGCGAGAATACTGTCCCGATAAAGCTTTGATTCCTGCTCTTAACATTGCTCTAGTGTTCGCGTGTGTCTTGACACAGTAAACCTCTAGACAGCGCTGGGAGATCTGTGTCTCGACCATAGACTGTAAGGTTTCGCCAGTTAAAAATGAAGCCACAATAAGCTCATGGAGCGAACTTGTCAATCATCTTGATGGATGACGCAGAGGAAACTCTGGCCAATAAGAGGACAGTTACTCGCACGTGACTTGCGTGATCACGTTTTGGTACGCTTTGAAAGGTTGCCTTGTGAAAGCAAGCCGTACCAAGAAGAAAATGCAACATTGTAACAAATGAAGTACCTGTTTCGAAACAAAGCAAACGATCTATCGGTGTGAAAACACCCTTAGTCTTGCACGCATTCACACAGTGAGGGTCTGTTACACATAGACTGCAGATTTTTGTCGTGGGAAAAGGGCCCATGAACTGGCTCTCGGTGGATTCCCAAGATGCACCTCGGTGCCGGCTGGTCCGGGACTGTGAGGGGGGCAGCTGCTATTAAACCTGTGTGGTGAGAGGTCATCTCTCACCAAGATCTCCACAGACTTGCCTGGATGTATTGAGACAGCTGTTGGGCTGTCGACAAATGCATTGGCTCTCCGTTCCTCCGTTAGACTGATGGCTGAAAAGCACCAAAGACCTGCTTTAATAGGACGTTCAATTAGGCTATGGAATTTGCCTCTGTAATTCGAGCTTCGAGGTATCACGTCATTTGCCAGCTTCTCAATTGGCAGTCTGACTTCTGAATCAACGTCAGAATGTTTTTATTTTATAAAGACTGAACAGGGTGTCAAAAACACAAGAAGAGGGTCATTTGGTTTTAGATGTCGTTTATGTACAAAGTTTACTCCAAGCCCTCTGAACCGAAGGGATTTTGCAGTCTCTCATTTGAGAGAGGTCTTCCATGAAGTCTGTTTCACCTGGTCCTCTTCAAACATGTCTTTTCCAAAGCCACAATGATATATGAAGCTGCCTTTCTACTTATTGTTTAAATTTTGGACGTATAACCAAATGCTAAGCAATTTTTTTTGAGCAAAGATGTTTTAGTGTATTTCCACTTGCTATTTTTTCCAATAAAGTAATTTATGTTCTTTTACAGAAAAGTGTCTAATTTGTGTTTTTATGAAGGCCGGACGTGTTGAAGGAACAGTTCACCCATAAATGAATTAATACTCTGTATACATATACTCATATCATTACAAAACAGCATAACTTTATATCTTTCATGGAATACAAAAGGACATTTTTAGCAGAATGTTCTCACTGCTCTTAGAGTTACAACAACAACATTAACAACATTAAAAGCGTTTCGTGCACGTATATTATTCAAGTTATTATTTCGTATTCAATATTTTTTAATATAGAAAAAAGTAACTGGTGTGAACTATTCCTTGAATGCATTATTTTTATCCACAGGTCTCTGAATAGATATGCTGCAATAAATATTTAGCGTCTGCGTCTAGACGCAGTCAAGATATTTTGAGTGATGGTCAGAACACCTGCACACACTTTCTGCTTAGCCGGACGCTAATACAACACCAACCCAGTTTAGCTGACACATGGCCAACAAATGTTCACGTCCGAGACGCACTGCAGGTGGAAAAAGACCAAAAGGGAGGCAGAAGACTTAGAGGAGCACCAGAGAGACGAGGAAGAGAAATGGGTCCGTCTGCACCATTAAGACCCGTGGATCCAGCTCTTTTGCTTCAGAACCTCAATCTGTCAAATGCATATGCCTCCCCGAGGGGAAATTTAATAAATGTGGGAAATTCCAACAATCTGTGCTTCGATTGTGGCCAGAGTTTTGAGGTTTTCAGTTTTGTAGACTGCCTCCGCAACTCAGCCTTTCCCTGAGCAATCTGAATCCACAAAGCCCTTGTGACCTGCGTTGACGCCAACCAGTCTTGCTAGAGTAACGATGCACTTCCTTTGCTGATTTGGAGGCTCAAAGCTGTGGGATTTTGGTGGGGGAAGCTAGTTGTAGGGGGGAGGGCACGCTTAAAGAAGTATTCCAGGCTGAAAGCAACTCAAGCTCTGTCTGTGGCATACTTTATCTCCAACATCTGTGGCCACTAAAAATGGTGTGCTCTTTGAGTACGGAGCTCCACTAGTGATAAAAAAAGCCCAATACACTGGGTCCATGATTTAAGAATTTTTAAGAACATTTAGCTTTGTGAACTTGGTAACTTTTGCACGATATGTGCAAGGATGAAGGAAAGGAATTTGGTGTTAATTATCTTTAAAAAGGTCTATAATACCTGGAGAAAGCTTTCGTTTAGCATTCCTATTAATGTCAATGGCAGTTTCTTGCAACAACAGTGGCTAACTGCCCATGTTAACTAGTAAATCCTAGTAAAACCGTCTGCATATAGGACTGCTTACTCGCGGAAAACTTCAGCAAAAGGAATTTTACTGACCACAAGTTATGTCCGACTTCAAAAGGGCAATTTAGACAACTTTACACACTGAAACAGCATTTATTTACTGAATTAATTAAGAAATACTAACATCACATTTTGGCTTTAAACTCAAAAACAAAAACCTTGCTTCCACTGTAAACACTTTTCTGAAAAGCAGTGTTGTTATTGCTAACCTAAACTTTAAAAATTTGGTAATTGAAATGAAGCTGAAATAAAGTATAACTCTTAGTCAAAAAAGCTGCTCATTGGCAAATATGTGTGTGTTTGGGTGTATGTGGGCCGATCTGGTCAGATATGACTGGTTGTTCAGTAGACGAAAGTCATTTGGGCTTTTGGGTTTGATGTGGTTGGCCTGAACTGCAGACATAGAGTCAGACATAGTAGACGTGAAGGATTGAAGCCGTGGAGTCATGTTCACAGAGAGATGACAACTGTGTGTGGGTTGCTGGATGGATGGGTGACAGAGGGTGATGTCATTGTCTTTCAACGCTTGAAGCAGCACAAATCTGCAAGAATTCCCCATAGAGCCAAACAAATGTCCCCCGTACCTGTGAGGGGGTGAGATAATATGTCTGTAATTGATGGCGGTGCAGTGTGGTATGAGTTGCTCTGTTGTCAGTCCTGTTGTCGAACATTTCTGAGGGCCTTTCAGCTGCATATATTATATGTCCGTCAGTAATAAGGCATGAAGACCACATTTTGTCAAGCACATATTTGTGTATAATCTGTAGTACAGGCTATATAACCAAAGCTAATTTTTCAATCATTTGAAAGCCACAAGGTACCAGTAGAAGAATTTGTAAAGTGGTCTAACATCACCAGTTTATTTCAGAAATCTTGCCATATTTAAAAAAAATCCATTATTCCTATTGTTGACCTAGATTAACCTCACTTTTTCCTTTCACTTCGTCTTTCATTCCCTTCTTCCCTCTGTCTGGGCTGTAGGAGCCCGTCGGACACAGGAAACGGCTTGTCAGTCACATATAAACACTGGCTTTTTTTTCAGCACTGATAAAAAACATCTGAAGCATCTGGGTAGAGAAACGCCTCCTGAAAGCTAGAAAGGGAGCTGAAAATGACAGGAATTGTTTGGGCAAAAATTAAAGTTTCTGCATCATTAACTCACCCTAATGTCCGACTGACTTTCTGTGAAACACAAATGGACATTAGGATGATAAGGGGATTGAGCTGTCAAAGCTCTAGATGCACCAAAGAAGTATTGGTAAGTGATCAATAGGGCTCATGCCCTATATTCCAAGTCATATGAGAGTTTGTGTTAGGAACAGGTCCCAATTTAAGTTATTTTTGATAATATTTGACAAGAATGATGAGCAGTCAGGAGACAGGCAAGATATTTAATATTGTTGACATCAAACCTTCAAGAAGAAACTTTAGTGATGTTCTACCAAAGACCGTGTTGTAGTTGAGACCAACTCATTCGAGACCCGTGTTACTGTAAGTCTGAGTCAAGAAGAGGGTCTGAAGTGAACTATATGCCTTCCATTTGGGGTGAATGAAGCCTGGTCCGAGTCTGAGTCCATGAGTCAAAGACCATGAAAATACGTTCTTGGACTCGGACTCGAGATGGACTACAACAATTTCATTCAGATTTGGAGCGATGAGAAAAAGAGTACAACTATGCCATCTCTAACCCAATTCTTTAACCTTTCCATGTGGATAGTTTCAGACATTTACACAGATCTGAGACCAGTTGTACATTCGGACACAAATATTAGGATCATTGATTGAACTGGGAATACAGGTCCTAGATATTAAATGGCCTTGTTCACGTCTCTGTGCTCAGCAGTGGTCGTCCATTGCCCTTAAAGGGGCATATTTGTGCAGTGATGCTCTTGTCTTTTCATGTTTGAGGTGGTGGTTTAGAGAGCTGAGTCATAGGGATCGTGTTTGAGCCAGGAGCTGTTATGATGGTTTGGATTACTAACATAGTTCTGGGTGACTGTGCTCTTGTGTGGGGATTACCCACATGCTTTGGCTACTAGATTTCCTTCTCTCTCTCTTTTCCAGATGCAACCGGATGCAGCCTTTCTGTCCTCTTCCACCTCAATAGTCTCAACTCCCCTGCTGACTCTGTTTCCTCAAATGTCCCCCCTCTTCTTGAACATAGATTGTGTCCTAGCAGGTAAATGTCTGCTCATCATTTACTCACCCTCAGGCCATTCCAACCCTGTATGACTTTCTCTCTTTTGTGGGACCCAAAAGAAGAATGTTTAAGCATTTTTTGAAAGTCAATAAGACACAAAATGTTTACGCTGTAAAGATGAAATTAATGCACACGATTAAGCTGGC